GGGGGGAACAGAAGAGTGTTTTGAAGATGTAAAAGAGAGACACAAAGGTAGAAAAAGGTAGGAAGAGTACTGTAGAAGTAGTCGAATATGACATACAGTGGGGTGATGGTAGTTAGAAGCCAGAAGTCAACTGCCGGTTAATAGACTTTTTTGTCGTATGAGTATACGTTGCCCAGGGTGCACCACGTGGAGGTAAGTTTATCGCACATCCCTCTTAGCAATCTTATTTTGTATTGTCTGAAATGTGCCTGGAAAGTAAGTGCTAACACCACCTATATTTCCTTCTTGATTAAATTGCTATCGATAAAATTCTTTTTTTTAAGCCCTCAACTAGTCATATGAGCTTTCAGTGCATCCATTACTTAGTAAAATAATCTTGGCTTGATAGATGCCATTGAATCTCAACGGTGCCAAATTTTCCCAGTAGTATTCACGATGTGTGAGTGTGAGACATTAATGATGGGATTGTAATAGTTATTATTCCTTGTTGTTTTTCACCCCCAGATTGGTAGAAGTTTGGAGTTGGACACCGATGGTATCTGGTGTATGCTGCCCGCCAGTTTCCCCCAAAATCTCACCTTCAAATTGGCCAATAACAAGAAGCTCTCAGTCTCCTATCCAGGCGCAATTCTCAATCAGATGGTTCGTGACCTCTTCACTAACGATCAATACCATGAACAGCTCCCTGGTGGTAACCTATCCTACGATATCAGATCAGAGAATTCGATCGCATTTGAAATCGATGGTCCTTACCGCGCGATGGTTTTACCCGCTGCTAGAGAGGAAGGCAAACGGCTCAAGAAGCGATATGCTGTCTTCAATTTCGACGGTTCACTGGCTGAATTGAAGGGTTTTGAAGTGAAGAGAAATGGAGAACTACAGTTGATCAAGATCTTCCAGTCATCCGTCTTTGAAGCATTCCTTCAAGGAACCAACTTGACAGAAGTCTATGCGGCGGTGGCGAAAGTAGCCGATCATTGGTTGGACGTTCTCCATGCTAAAGGGGCTGGTATGCCCGATTTGGAGTTATTTGACCTGATTGCGGAGAAGAGGAGTATGTCAAGGCGTTTGGAGGACTATGGGGCACAGAAGTCGACTTCAATTAGTACGGCGAAGAGATTGGCGGAATTCCTTGGTGACGCGATAGTGAAAGAAGCTGGTCTTTCCTGCAGGTTTATCATTGCTAGGCAACCAGAGCAAGCCCCTGTCACGGAGAGAGCTATTCCTCTTGCAATTTTCCAGGTATTTCCGCTTGGCCATCAACATGCCTTTTATGCCCTACGCTAATGTGGAATTTGGGAGTGCGCACTGCTTTTCTTCCTTGCTCATTTTAATGATTTGCCTTTTCTCAATTGGCTTAATCGATTCCTTCGTTCGGTTAAAATCAATTATAGGGCCTTTTCGTTCCGTTGATTGAATCTATCTAACGCAATCCTAAGACTAATACCCTCCTGCATACACATTCAAGTCCCTTAAATTTTAATACTTTTTTTCGAAGATTTGGGACATTTGTTTGGTTCTAATAATTTTGGTCAGTTGACCCTAGTCCACTTGACCTAATAACGATAGAGTCCTCAAAATTGATCAAGTTTATTGGTTGATCATTTTTATGAGTATTACTGTTATAACGAAATCTGTTCCTGCTTTCCTCTACTCTCTAATCTCTTTAATTTTGAACTTTCTAACCCCCCCCCTCCCAACGTTATAGGCTGAGCCCTCAGTCAAACGTCACTTCTTGCGAAAATGGTTGAAAGACTCCAGTATCACAGCAGATGTTGATCTTCGATCCATCCTCGACTGGAATTACTATCTTGAACGTCTTGGAAGTGCTATTCAAAAGATTATCACGATTCCCGCAGCTCTTCAACAAGTGCCCAATCCTGTACCTCGTGTCGCACATCCCGATTGGCTACACAAGAAGATGAATAAAGCTGAGACGTGCACTCAACGGAAAATCACCGATATCTTCAAATCTGCACCGGACATTGAGGACGGTATTAAGAATGGACCTTCTTCAACTCCACTTCCACCCAGAATCACAAAGAAAAGACCCTCATCGGTCCTACAACCTACTGGTCCTCCTAAGCCTTGGAGAGAAGTTCTTGGTGAGCCACCTCGATTGGAGGATGTTGGAACCCTGTCATGGTTGGAATTTCATCAGAGAAAATGGAAGCTTCAGGCAGAGAGGAGGAAGTGGATTGGAGAAGGTGGTGTCAGTAGTGGGCCAATGGCGAAGAGAATCAAAGGCCTTGGTGGATTCCTGACGAGAACTAGGGCGGCATTATCTCAGTGTATTTGGCAGGTTAGTTCTCCTTCTATCTTTATCCTTTCGAAGTGCTATTATTTCTCAATATCAGAATTTTCAGATGGGAAATTGGGGAATTTTGCTCTTACCAAGTTAAGGCTTCACTTCAATCCAGATTTCTGTGTAAACAGATTGTTAATAACTTTTGTCTCTGTCATATTCTATCAGAAGAAGAATAACGTCATCTCGTCTTTCAATCTCCTCTCCATAACCCCCCCCCCCCTTATTAGATCGGTTTAGCGCTCCTCGTGCTCATTTGCTTTCTCATGGTAATAATTGTCACTATTTTGCCTATCCGTAGTTAGCCAAAAATCAGACAATATGAATGATAAATCTTGTTTATTCCTTACATTATTGGTGTTGTGAGGGCTGTTTACTTGTTCACTGGTCTTTACTATTCTCATGTTGTAATCTGTATACATGATTTTTTTAACCTACAACGACATCAATACTCATAATTGGTTGGAGGTCATTTGTTCTCAATGATCGGATTTAGTTCGTGCTTCTCTCCTCTGGGAGGTGCTCCGATTCTACTCTTCTACCGAAAATGAATTTCCGATTTGGAAGTAATTTTTTTAATATTGCTCGAATCTACAGTATTTTCAAAGCTTGCCAACTATAATAAGCACTCTTCATTTGACCTCAAGTTTTTTGATTATTTAGTTCAACTCTTCTCATGTTCTTTTTTAAATTTACAATAAGTAGAACAACAGCAGAAAATGAATCTCACCGTCGCTATTGATATTTGATTAGTGCTAGGAGTACGATCAAATCAAGAGGGATAAGTAGAGAAATCTCAAGGCAACGATTCCATTCCGCCTTATTCCATACTGGTAAGTATCTTGAATGATTGGGTCGCGAAGTTCAAACCATTAATGGTTCGATGATGGTTTCATTCATTCGACTTTCCTAAGCAATCAAGACCAATTTTAGAGATCTCCAGCGAGTTAATTATTCTATCGGGATTTGAATATCCTTCAAATTTTTATGGTTTTCTTGAAGTTTCTAATATTATTTATTTTATTTATATCAAATGGCAGGCGTTTTTATGATTATCATTAGCCCTTTAGTTGACTTCAGGCTTCACAGAGGGGAAGGAACATCAAAGTGAAAAAAAGTCGTGACAAAAAGGACAGAATAATGATCCACAGATGCAAAAGAGACAGACAAAGGTAGAAAAAGGTGAGATGAGTACTGTGGAAGCAATCGAATATGCAGTGAGTGAGTACTGTGAAAATGATCGAATATGACATGGAGTCAGCGAGTACTGTGGAAGTAGTCGAATATGACATACAGTGGGGCGAGTGCTGTTGAAGGGGTTGAATATGACAAGCAGTCGGGCTGATTGGTAGTTTGAAGTGAGAAGTCAACTGCCGGTTGATAGACGTAGTTTGAAGTCAGAAGTCAACTGCCGGTTGATAGACTTGTTAGTTTGAAGTGAGAAGTCAACTGCCAGTTAATAGACTTGTAGTTTGAAGTCAGAAGTCAACTGCCGGTTTATAGACTTTCCCGTATGATTATACGTTGCCCATGGTGCACCACGTGGAGACAAGTCCATCACACACACCAAGTTCATAATATTATATTACTTCACCTTAGACTTGCTAAGAAACGATTATATTTCACAATTTATCTTGCAAACATTTTCAATGAAAACTATTGAATGGAACCATATATTACTATCATGGATTTCTTGGAAACCTTTTTCATTTCTTTTTGAGTCATGTTCATATTCTTAGAAATGTACTCGACAGGTCATGTTTGAAAAGAAATTGGAAAACTTTAGGATCTTTTCATAATTACGCCTTGCATTTTACCTCGTAGATAATTGAGGTAGTGCCAAGCCCAAAGCAGCCTGGTCTCTACACTCTCTGGGTCTACGTTCACTCGGCCTCCGACATGTTCTCCTCTCCTCCACAACTCCATTCAATTCGTCTCCATGTCCCCCGATACTTCTACGTTAACCAACGCGTTCCCAAAGCCCAGGAATCCGGTACTTTTTATCGAAAAGTCTCCTCCATCACTACAACTACCTGCGAAGGTGGTCAATCGAGTTCTGTCGCCTCAATGTCCAATTATACACTTCCTCGATCACATCCTGTGTACCATCTCTATGGTTACACAGTTCCAGAAGACGTCTACGCCAGCCATGCAGCGGATATTTCAGCAGACCTTGCACAGCCTGAAGTTGAGGGCGTCTACGAACTTCATGTTCCTCCTCTCTTTCGCTTACTCGCGAAACTTGGTTGCCTCTGTGCTGTTGCAAAGAGTGCTCGAACCCAGTCAATCACCTCTGAGGAACGAAGCTTCCAGCTAGATCAACTCGAATTTAGATCTCTTGCTCAACATACTTATCTCGGAGGAAGTGGAGATGAATGTCGATTGAGGAAGATGTTCTTGTTCTATTATTCGGATTCTGGACCAGTGGTGGTGCCACGAAGAGAAGCCCTTAGGCAGATGTATTTCCTCGTTGTTCCTTGGGCCCAGAGGGCTTACGTTTGTGTAGTGGATACTGCCAAGGTAAATAAACTCCCTGGTAATTTGGAGAGTATGTACTCGAGAAGTCATGCCTCCAATGCAACCTCGAAAAACATTCCAGAGAATTTAACTTTTGAAACGCGTGTGGAGACAGATGCTACCACTGCTAGACGCGTGGTTCAACGATGGATTACATCGGCAAGTCAGGAGAGAGGTCATGGAGGGAAGGAAAATGCACCTCCACAGCATTCAACTGATGCCGCCACGCCAATCGTTATCCTTCTCCACTCCTCCTCGGTTAATTCACATGCTACGCCATCGACCACATTGGACGCTCCTTGGCCAATTGGGGAGACCATGGTTAATAGAAGACGGGCACCGCAATTGACCGCTTTGGCTGAAATGCCGGTGATTGCACTAGGTGGTACTGCAGATGATGAAAAGAGTGCAGGTGAGATCGGCGAGGATGCGTACAGTGTTCTCAAATGGCAGCACACAATTGTGAAGAGAGCTATCAGGTTCTATCTACAGGTGAGTATTTGGTCCTTTTGTTTCCAAGCATGGCTTTCATCGCCTACAAATCGATAGATTTGAGAAAATGTTTTTCCTACTAACGAGAAACGCTTCCAAGTTATTAGGTGCTTTCATTTCTATTTGTGGTTACCACTTTCGATTTGGTGGCTGTACACTAGTGAAATGGCTTTCCAAAAATAAAAAAACAATTATTTTCACATTTTCGTAGTCGTGTCATTTCTATTGATAGGTGGTCTGCATCACCCTCGTTGCTACTAACGTCGGCTCGTATCTTTTTATTATCTTTTCCTTTACCATTTGTATCTCTAATCGACTAAATGATTGTGTATGTATGGACTGAATGATAAAATTAAACAAACATTTAGATCCTAGAACATGGACGAGTTTGATAATATAATCGATACTTTTTGAAATAGTCATTGCATTTTATTGTTTATTCAAGATTTGTAAGCCACACTTTGCATTTCGGGTTGACAGTGTATGGTAAATGACATTTTTTTCTTTAGTCTGAAGCCCGTTTCGAGAGTCAATTAGAGTTGTCTCGATATCTCCATGTTCCAGTTGGCAACATCCCAGTAACCGAGACCCCAGTTCGAGTCCAGGTCCCATCAGAGAAGACCGATGAAGGTGCTACGATCACCTCCATCTCTCCAGCGATAAGCACCACCGAATTTGGTTGCGATCTCTTCTTCGCTCGTCATCTCTGGAAATCCAATCATATTCTGTGGGCCTCTGGATCAGGGCAGCCTGATTTTGGTGGCAAGGAAGTGTATGACCAACGTCTACTTCTCGAGATGGAAGAAGCTTCTGTGAGTTATGCCTTTAAATAAAGGCCGTCGGCGTTTTTTCTGTTTATTGATCGGGTCATTTGGATATTTTTACAAGATGTGAGACTCTTTGGTACTGTACTTATTACTGTTGAGAATCTCGTTTCTGCCTCTGCAATCTAACTGCTGCAGCTAGAAATGACTCAGGTCCTGACGAGGAGGGGAGTAGTTGTCACCATGGTCGTCCATCTTTTATTCTCGGTCTTTTTTTATAATTCTAATCTAATTGGGACTATTATGTTTAAGGCCTAACATACTCGGTTTGTCATAGAGGGCATTGTGAAAGTACTTCTTCTGGAAACATTTACATGTTCATTTACGAATAAGCTTTTCGTTAAATAGGTCGTTGAAATCAATCGTTCCGGATGCTATCGCCACGTGTGTGTTGACCTGGAACTCTCCAATCTCGCAGTGAACACAATGTTAGTGGCCAGTCAAATCCCTGAACTAGAGGGTGCCAGTGCTATGACCTTCGATCACCTCATGCCTGCTCAACAATCGATCGAAGAGCAATTGAGAAGAGGGGTAAATGTTGGCGCTCAGATCACAGATTATGATGAGACTGCTGCATGTTCTGCTGCTTTCCGAATTCTTAGAGCAATGGTTGTAGCTTGGGTTCGCGATGTAACTCAATTTAAAAATCCTCTGGCTGATGAGCAGATAATCTACTTCTATCATTGGTTAAGATCCTCGTCTTCCCTTCTCTATGATCCAGCTTTGAGGCGTACACTTCAAAAGCTTATGAAGAAGGTGAGCCTTTGCAATATCTCCCTACTAAAACAATATCAGCTGTTGATGGTGATTAAATTTTGTGTATTGATTAGGTCTTCCTAAAACTTGTTGATGAGCTGAACCAGACTCACGGCTTGGACGTCGTGTATGCGAATTTCAGTCGGCTTCTACTCTGCACTCATCAACTAGATGTTGTGGATGCTCTTTCAAGGACTGATGGTCTTTCTCGAATGCTTCAATCGAAATCCCTCTTTTTTCACATTGATCTTCAATACACTCGAGGATGGCATCAGCTTCTGTGGTATGACTCTGCGAATTTTGCTGGTCTGAGGGTGAGAGCCATTTACTTATTCATTCTATTCAGTGTGGCAACCATGATGTGGCAGACGTTAGGCACAGTTTAGACCACAGATGTAAACTTAAACGAGAATAACAAAATAGAGGTTGAATTAAATGGGTTATTGTCTGTCAACTTGTACTTCGCGTATACATGGACACCGAACGATAAGGTCATGAGGTCAACCAGGCGTCTTAGGTATTTGTTAGCATACTCGATTGTTTCCCAAACCAAAAGGCGCTTTGGATGGGTGCAAGCTATCACCTAAGTACTTCCCATTTACATCGGGAGCCACACTTTTAATTAAGGAACAAAAAGAGGGAACTTTAGTTCAGTTTGAAATCTTCCTTCTGATTAACTGTAGTCCTCTATGAACACAAAGTCAATCTATTTCAAATGGCAGGTGTTTTGATAGTTATCATTAGCCTTTAAGTTGACTTTAGGCTTCATAGAGGGGACGAGGAACATCAAAGTGAAAAAAATTCGAGAGGAGGGGAGGGGGGTGGGGTAGGGAACAGAAGAGTGTTTCAAAGAGGTAAAAGAGATAGACACAAAGGTAGAAAAAAGGTGAGATGAGTACTGTGGAAGTAGTCTAATAAGACATACAGTGGGGTGATGGTAGTTTGAAGTCAGAAGTAAACTGTCAGTTTATAGACTTTTTTGCTGTATTTGTATACGTTGCCCAGGGTGCACCACGTGGTGGTAAGTCTATCGCACACCCCGATAGTCAATTAAGCTTTATATTTCTATTTAAAAGGTGTAAGTGCTGGATATTTCGAATAATAATAATATACTAACCACTCAATGATCTTTTATATTTCGAACATATTGCATAATTGGCCAGGTTGTTCTTATTTTAATATCATCTAAAAATGCCAGTTACCGGTTGAGGGTGCGAGTGCAGTTTTGGCGAACAAAGATCAATTTTTGAAATGGACAGAGTCAGTCTTTGAATTTTGCACTAATTATTATGGGAAGTATTGACCTGACTAAACTTCCCCCTATCTTTTTTTTAAAAAAAACGAACATTTTTGGAAGCCTTCTCCCTCCTAAGTTGATAATTTCAATTTGTATGCCCTCCTCTTATGCAATGAGTTTATAGATAAAACTCGTAAGTGCGTGGAGGGCACTGTTATTACCATTTTACTATTCATATTAAGTGAGTAAGGGGTTTTTTCTTCTCTATTTTGCAGATTGACTTGGAGGCAATGGCTGCGGATAAATCATCCTCTCAGGTGCAAGATATATCCTCTACAAACTACAGCAGTGATGATGCTTCTGATACGCAAGTGGACATGTGGTGGCATCTGGCCAGATACCTCCCTGAATCCCGAGGCCTTCGCACAAAGTTCCACACCCTCATCGCCGGTTACCTTCTAGCCACTCGCAAAGCCATCGTGGATGAAACTCATCGCCTCTCTCATATCACTGAGGCCGTCACCACAAATGAGAACTCTGCGGATGAAGTCTTGACAGATGCTACACTTACCCCAACGGTTCTAGACTTCTTAGATCGTTTGATTCGTGAACAAGTCGCTCCTGAGCTCTATACGTTCATCCAACGACTTAGACGAAAAGCGGGGCCTTGGTGTTCTGCTGAGGAAAGTGTTGAACGGGGTGCCTTTAACGCCGCTGAAATCACCGCTTATTTGGATGAAACGGATGATATTGAACGAATTGAACTCCCACCTCTACTTCCTCCACATCCTGCTCAATTCGCTTCTCCGAAAGAGAAGGTCAAACTCACTCCTCTCTGCGATTTTGTGAAAACTCTCTGCGTGGTGCTCTCTCTGGACACTTGTATCGCTCGACAAGTTGGGGAGATGCAGAGGGATTTGTTCAGACTTCTTGGGGTTGGGGAATTCTCCTCAGATGCAACCTGGTGTGCTCCACATGAGTTTGGAGAGGAAGGAAGATCCCTGGTTTTGCACTTGGCTGAGGTCACTTGTGCTGCCTGCAACTTTGTGAGGGACTTGGATATCTGCAGAGAGAGGTATGTGGCAAAGGTGGCGGTGGATGGAGGTGAGACCTCGTTGTGGGTTCCACTGTGTCCCCACTGTGAAACTCCCTACTCAAGAGCGGCTCTTGAAACTGGCCTGCTGGGGCAGTTGGAACACTTTACAAAACAGTTTGTTCTTCAGGTAAGTTGGCGCTTAATTTGCAAGGGTACTATTACTACCAAACTTTCGAAAAAGGAATGCTTTGAACTGTGAATAAACGTTTCCATTACAATTAAAAGTTATATGGGAACTCGAGATTCTAAGATCTCTCTCTTTTGAAGAAGTAGATCTTCATGCTTCCCATCTTCCTCTCCTGTGAATGTTTTTTGCAAACGGGTACATCTATGGCAATGAATTTCTAAGGTCCAAGACTAACACGCATCTTAGTTCCTTGGGTTAGAAATTAATGTTTTTTTGAGTGCAATGATCAAAATTGAGGCAGAAAAATTCTGTCTGATTTAATTACCTTTGATCTGCCAATAAACTACTACCATTTCTGCTTTCTTAGTCATGTTGTCCTTGTTCTCCCAGTAACTGATGTTTGCTGAGTAGGATTGGGGAATACCTTAGTAATTTCGTCCATAAATATCCCTGAATACCAGCACTCCTTTTGGCAGTTATCCTACTGTACACAATTTCTGTTTAAAAAATGAAGTTTTCTCTTACACCGACTAATTTCTATAATCGGCTAATTCTCGACTCTTTAATTTATAGGATCTTCGATGCCCCAAATGCATCTCAGGCGGTGGTATCCAAGAGTCTTCTTTATCCCGTGGTGGATCTCAAGGTCGTTGTGCTGACTGCGCCACACCCCTAGAGCTCACAGTTCGTGGTGGCCAGGATTTTATTCGTCGCCGTTTAGCTGTCTATGCTGCTGTTGGTCGAGCTTTTGGCCTTCACGCACTCACGCTTAACGCTGATTGGCTGTTGTGTTTTGGCATTTAAATTTAATTGGCTACAATTTCTTATGCATAATGCATTTACACTCAAATCTGTCATCTGTTTATTTATAACGTGGCTTTATCTAAGATTTTCGGAAGGATATATATATATTTTTCTACATGTAACCTATTGAATAAAATATTTTTATAACACTTATTTCTTATTTTCTCTTTTCGGTGTTTACATAAAGCTGGCTTTTGAGAAATTCATGCCTTAGTAATAATGCTAACTTATCTTAAAGTTCTAGCTTTACTTTGCGAGCCTTATGTTTGGTTAGATTCTAACCCATCGTTAATGCCTTCTTTGTTACTCAGAAATCCTTAAAAATGTTAGAATTGATGGATTCCGTTAGCTTATAAATGCAACAGCAATTACTAATCACAACTTACGCTATTTTACATTCGTCAACTTTAGATCACACATGATTGAAGGGTATTCACCATTGATTCAGACAGTTTTGGGAACAGGATTGACGTGGGGCGCAACTGCATTGGGTGCGTTTTTCTGTATCTTCCAACCGACCAATGGGCGTGTGCTTGAGAATGTGAGCAACACCTAAGAATTACTCCCTTTTCCACTAGCCTTCATTTGTCTTTTATTGCGCAAACTAATTGTTTTCTTTAAGGGTAAATTCCTTGACGGAAGCCTTGGATTTGCTGCTGGGGTAAATATTTTATTTCCGCCTAAATTAATCTTAGTTGTATTGTCTTGACAAGCGTTGCTTTGTTGTTTAGGTTATGCTTGCAGCTTCTTTCTGGTCCCTTCTCCAACCAGCCATTGATCTAGCACAGGAAGCTGACTCGGCCACGAGTCTCAGTTACATGCCTGCTGCTATAGGGCTTTTAACTGGAGCATTATTTATTATTGTGTCAGATTACTTCTTCCCGGAACACGTGAGTACCATAAAATCAGGCTTACTTTTAATTTTTCAGTAGTCGATAATTTGGCTTTTTGTGTTTTAAGGATATTATCAGTGACAATGTCCACCAAGAACCCGAAGTGTCTTCATCTACTTCGCACATTGTGGACAGTCATCTGTTTGCTAGTGAGTTATTGAATTTTTTTCTTTCTTGTAGTACTGTTTTGAATACCATGCTAATTGTATGATTTTGTTTGCTATTTAACGGAGTAAAGGAAATGGTAGGTTTTGGCGTTTTATTGGTTTGCGCTTGCGTTGACTTAATGGAACTGTGAATAACTGACTGGTTTTGCTGTGCAAACCACCTAACCCTCGTACTTTTTTGTTTGAGCACTTGTTTTCTTCTTTCTAACATCATTTCGAATTTCATTTCATTTCTTTGGAATTATCTTAAGATTCCTGTTAAATGCTAAATGAGTAATACCAATTTTTTTTTGGGATTCAACCCAAGTAAGGTAAATGTAAGTTTTCACTTAGGTTTAAAATTTTTGAAGTGATTGGTGCCATCTTGTGTGCATCTAGTAAAATGATTGATAGACCTCAATTCGTTAATAGAAGTGGTTGATAAAATAGGCTTTTTTCTCTAACTTAGTAATCGAAACTAAACAGGAAAAAATATGAAAATTTAATCTGTTTGTGGTTATCGCATAAATCGATCCGAATAATTGGATTCTATGCAAATGTATGTTAATTAACTGCTAAAATTAATTATTTCCTATCAAATTTCTAATCTAATTTTCGTCTGTAGGAGAGTGAATGGCGGAATTTCTACCTGTTGCTTGAAGTTTGAGTGCTAATTATTGATTGATTTGTTGTTTTATCTCAGGCATGCTTCCACATTGTCAAAAGTGTTGACTTAATTTGATCATCGCAACTTTGCTTTCATTTATCCCAATAATGACCCAAGTTCAACTCAGAGAAAGGAGTACTTTAGTTCCAAAGATGAGGAGAATTTTGCCAGGTCTATGGTGTTTATGAAGCTCATCATTTAACATATTTATTTAAATCTAATTGCTGGCTTTATGATAGTTATCGTCAGCCATTTAGTTGACTTCGGCCTTCACAGGTGGGAGGAGCATCAAAGTCACGAAAATTCGAGGGGGAGGGAACACAAGAGTGATTCACAGATGTAAGGGTGACAGACAGAGGTAGAGAAAAAGGTAAACGTGAAGTGAGTACTGTGGAAGTGGTCGAATATGACATACAGTCGGGTCATGGCAGTTTGAAGTCAACTGCCGTTTGAGTATACGTTGCCCAGGGTGCACCACGTGATGATTAGTCTGAAATGCACCCTTCATTTGACATATCGTTTCTTCGATAATCGTTCAAGGATTTTGCGGTTTAGATAACCTCGTGTTGCATGTTGCTGTTGCACGAATCAGTGCTGATAAATAATGAAAAATAAATTTAGCGAGAATGCGGATGTTTGCTTTAGTTTTTCCCTAAGATATTTTATGCATGTATTCCTCTGGATTGGTTATTTAGACTCTCTATTTGCTAAAATATATCCGTCTTCTTACAACTTCCTCTCATCTTGGCCGATTGGGGAGAATACAATACTTTCTTTCGGCTGAATTAAACCACGCGTAGGTTGTTTCTATATTTGCTTATATCTGGACACGATTTGTCTCTTTGTTTTCACACGCCACCCTCCCCCCCCCCCCCCCCCCAACAACTTAAATAATTGAAGCACTCCTTTATCCGGTGTTTGTCTTGTGCATATAAAATAGGGATTTTTTATATTTGCCATGTTTTGCAGGACTTTCTAATGAGTCGGTTCGTTACCGTGGCAACAATCTCTTAACCCCCATTACATTTCCTGATCCCCAACTAATTTCTCCCCGCATTCCGCGAATGAGCACCAAACTCTGGCTGCTTCTTCTAGCCATCACCGTGCACAACATTCCTGAGGGTCTTGCAGTGGGTGTGGCCTTTGGTGCTGAGAATGACATCACAGGTTTCTACCGAGCCAGGTAATTAGCTCATTTATAAAATCATTCCTACTGAAAACATATTGAGTACCAATTGATTGTTGACTCAGAAACCTCGCCCTCGGTATGGCATTGCAAAACTTCCCTGAAGGTCTTGCCGTCAGTTTGCCGCTTCGCGCGAGTGGATATTCATTCTGGCGCAGTTTTTGGTGAGTTTGAATCCGCGGTACTGCTTATCATACCTTTACGAGTACGATTAATGCCTGGGGGTGGGGGTTTATTGGCCTTTAGGTACGGACAACTCTCAGGTTTCGTCGAACTGATTGCTGGCATTCTGGGCTGTGTCACTGTGCAATATATTCAAAGTCTCCAACCATACGCTCTCGGTTTCGCTGCTGGAGCAATGATTTTTGTGATATTCGATGATGTGATACCCGAGGCACACAGAAAGTAAGCGTGCGTTTATTTACTTAGTCATTTTCGTAAGCGGCAGTTGTCTTTCTTCCTTATGCCAACTTTACTGGGAATTTTCATATTCCGATTATTCATTTCCATCTGCAGTTTTTTTGTTTTTAACGTAAATTGTTCATGTAGTCCTTTTTAAATTTGGCGTTGCATTGTTAGGATACGACTAAAGTTGGTACCATTTTTTTTAAATGGTACCAACTTTAGATAGGGAGATGAAGGACGATTTGAACGGAAGGAAATGATTGGTCTAGAGGTGTTCAAAAAGCGCCTGGCTTTCGAATTATCCATTTATTTTATTTAATGAATACCTTTCGGTGTGTCCATAGTTCAAACTTCAGGCTCTATCCCCTGGGTGTTAGTTCACATTACTCACTGATGCTTGGCCACCTCGATGCGTCCATCTTTCTCTCTCTGTTTCTGGACCCATTTTTACCATGTCTTTAATGCTTTTGATGTTCGCTCTAGTCTTTTGTGTATTTGCCCTTAAACTTCGACTGTCTTTTGGCCAATATCTGTGAAATCACCTTTCCTTTAACAAGTGCAGAGTTTCAAAATAGCACTCGTATCCGTTAAAATTAACCCCCTGAAAAAAGTGGTCTTTATGATGTTGTTGTATTAAGGTGGTCATCCAGGTTTTAATTTGCATTGTTATCGGCGGCAAGATGTCTTTGATCTCGCTTCTATCACCCCTCCCTGGCCCCGCAATCCTCCCCCCCCCCCACCCCACCCCGTTTTTTCCAAATTTTACGACTCTTCTTTTCATCACGTTCCATTGTACGATTGCTTCTGCGTTATGATTGGTCATTTACATCTTGACTGCAATTGGAAATCAGGTGAATGGTTTTTAAATACATCCACCATAAAGAGCCGTTAATTACGTCGGCTAGACGTCTCTCTTCTGATAACTAGGGATACACTTAGGGGTCAAGTGGATTCAAGAGCCTTTTTTCCAAAATGGGATGATGGAATAAACGCCATCACAGAATGAAAGGAGGTAAAATTGTGTTTGAGAGAAAAAGCCAAGGCACACTTAGTGAAGTTGGCCGTTTTGCGTTCACCGTCCGTATTGCCACGCATGCTGTCATAGTGACTCGGCAAGGGTGTTCGATAGCAAGTTACAGCCGACTTACTTGACAATTTCAATTCCGAAACATTATCCCTCGACCTCGGGTTAAAGAGGGGGTGGGGGGGGGGGACAATGGTCTAGCCATTGTCGAGGGTTGATTGTCAAGCATTTTTTTATCTATAATTTGCTGCATTAAGCACACATCGGCTATCTATAACTTGAATACTTGGATTGTTGAAGGCATTTTAAAGGTGAATAGGTGGCAATTATCCGTTGTGTCGGTGTTCTCGTGGTAACAGATTCGCATTCCTTCGTATTTTTTCGTATTTACGCTACAGCCTGTAATGCGGCACTTGCAGACACTCCTCTTGAGGGTGCTTGAGGTGAGAAAATCGAAGTCTGTGGCCGTTTATTAGCCTATTGGGCTTCGTGCACATTGGCTATGCCTCTAGACCCGATACTTTCTTCAACCCCCTGGACATAACTGTGACTGCAATTTGACCCTGCAGATGGAGCAATAAAAGGAATGTGTGTGTGAGTGTAAGCGATGACGCACTTTGATTTGCCTTTCTCTCCACTCAGCCATAAACCTACCCTCCCCC